AGGCCAAATTTTCCAACTACCGGTGATTCTTCTTTGTTTTCAACTTTTGCATTCCAGTCACCAGTGATAATTAACACATCTTGATTGCATGTTCGGTCAATTTCAGACTGCAGAAGTTGATAAAAATCTTCAATTTACTCATCTTTGGCTTTGGTGGTTGGTGCATAAATTTGGATAGTCGTATTAACGGGTCTTCCTTGTAGGCATATGGATATTACCCTATCACAGACAGTATTGTACTTCAGGACAGATCTTGAAACATCCTTTGTGATGATGAATGTCACACCATTCCTCTTCAAACTGTCATTCCCAGCATAGTGGATCATATGGCTGTCTGATTCAAAATGGCTAAAACCAGTCCATTTCAGCTCACTAATGCTGAGGATGTCAATCTTTATGTGTTCCATTTCATTTTTTACAACTTCCAATTTTCCTAGATTCATACTTTGTACATTCCATGTTCCAATGATTAATGGATGTCTGCAGCTGTTTCTCTTCAATTTGAGTGGTGCCACATCAGCAAATGGAGGTCTCAAAAGCTTTACCCCATCCATATGAGTAAGGTTGGGTTTACTCTGATGATGCAGCTCTTTCTCAGTCCTATTTTGAGAGCCTTCTAACCTAACCAGACTATTCATAAAGTTGCACGATAATGTATCAGACACTGTTTCTTTGCTATTCACAAGGTTTTCCCTGGCCAATTCTTTGAGAAGTGGATGGCCTCGTCCTTCTTCCTAGTCTGTCTCAGTCTGTAAGCTGGGCTGATACCTGTGCACCATGTGCATCCCACTGGGTTTGAAACACCAGTGGCTCACCCTCAAAACTCACATCAACACGTCACCATGGTAGGACAAACCAACAGACAAGTTTTTCCCCTGTTAGAAACCTCTCCTACCACCCTTACCTGGGTCCCTGTGGCTGACTGCTCCTCTGTCCCCGTTCCTGGGCCTTTTAATCCCCTTTCTAACACTCTCCCACCCTGTGCTTTGGGCGTGCCTGGGTTCCCTCTCCTCAACTGGATCCCTGCGGCTGACTGCTCCTCTGTCCTGGTTCCTGGGACTTTTAATCCTCTTTCTCCGGCTCTTCCACCCTGCTGCTTTGTGCATGCCTGGATTCCCTCTCTATGCCTATGATACATAGACACATGAAATACTATACAACCCCAAAGAATAAGATAGAATCTGCAAACACCGTATAACATAGATGAACTTGGAGGACATTATGCTGAGTGAAATAAGTCAATCACAGAAAGCCAAATGTAGTATTATTCTGTTATGGTAAAAAGTCACAGAAAGGTTTATATATGGAAGGAAACTCTGTTGGTTACCAGGAGTAGGAGGAAATGGGAGAAACCACTGCAAAAATAAAATAAATACACTTAAAAAATTTAGGAAAAAACTATAAAAAATGTAACACTGGCTGTGATGTGCCAGGTTGACTGGGCCATGATTCTCAGTGGTCTAACAGTTATGTAATGATGGAATTTGAAAGTCGTGTTATAACGTAGTCATCCTTCGTTTTCACAGAACACCAATTTCACATAATGATTGGTCATTATGTGAAGTTAGTTTCCAAAATTTTTGGAGCCTAACCTTGATGATAAGGAAGGAGTGAATGTATTTATGCAATTTTTTTCTAAGTCTAAAATCAGTTCAAAATAAAAAAAGTTAAACTTCTAGAAAAACAATAGAGATAGAAAATAGATGAGTAAATGACTGCAGAAGAACACAAGACATTATTTTTGCATGTTGATCCACATCGTCAATGTACTTGGTGGTTACATAACTACATTGAATTGTCAAAATTCACAAAATTATGCAATTAAACTTGGTGCATTTTATTATATTTAAATTATACTTAAAGAAAGCTAACAAAAAAGAATCCCAGATGTAAATATAACCTTTAAAAGAAAGGTGGTGGGTGGAAATCCTCACAGAAGCAGAATGCAGAGGAGAGTCATCAAATAAGACTATATACATATATTAAAAATATATAATATAATCTCACATATCTATAACATATGATATATATATATATATATATATATGATATATATCATATATATATATATAAATATATATATATATATGATATATGTTGTTGTTGTTGTTATGTGCCGTTGAGTCGGCCCCGACTCATAGCGACCCCTCCTTGGGTTTCCGAGGCAGTATCACTACGGAAGTAGGATTGCCCAACCTTCCTTCCGAGGAGTGGCTGGTGGGTTTGAACCGCCAGCCTTCTGGTTAGCAGTCAAGTGCTTTAGCCACTATGCTACCAGAGCTCCTATATATGATATATATATGATATATATCATATATATATCATATATATATGATATATATATGATATATATCATATATATATATATATATGGTGGTTTTTTATTTTCTTCTTACCAGATTGATTAACTGAGTGTGTACCACATCTTCTACCAAAACTGCTGTTTCATGCAGAGGCCTCCTAGCATCTCCTAAAGAAAACCTGCAGAAAAATTAAACACACCAACATTAAAGACTGTGAAACTAAGAAAGGCAAAAAGTGAGTTCTTTAATAAAAAGCATCTGCTAAAGAAAATACAGTTGTTCTTCAAATAAAAGATTGAATGTACAATTTTTTTCTAAACAAAGAAAATTTATTTCTTCTACACAATATCAAATCCTAAAGAAAAGTATAGTGTTATCTATACTATTTCTTGATTTATATAGCATATGTTTAAAGGGTATTTACTGTTTTCAAAAATGTAAACTACTAACAATCACTCCATAATATTGTCAAGTGGAAAATTAAGCTACCAGATTAAAAAATATATATATAAAAACATAGTAATAGCCATAAAGTAAGTTACAAAAGTTGCATTAAAACAGAAGTTGTAAAAGCATGTGATATCATCAAAATGACAGTAGCTGAGAAAAATTGTCTTAATTCCATTTAAATTGTAATTTACAGTTACATACAAATAGATAATCAAGAATGGGTAACAAAACTGATGTTAAAAATCATGTTCTTAACTTTCACTTTTGCCAGTATGGTGGGTTAAATTTATACAGAAGCACTTCCTGGTAAACAATAGGAATCATGGTAATGTATTAAAAACTTACTTTCAAAGAATGTCATAGTGAGCAGTAAAGAAGGTCAAACAAGATGAGAAAATGCAGTTAAAAAAAAAAAATAAGACTACAAGGAGCCAAAATTTATTCTGAAGATATCTGCTTATTCATAATAGCCTGGATCCTCATTTTGAACTAACAAAATATTCAAGGTCAAGTAAAGAATGCTAAGACCCCAAACAAGGTAGGAGGATCAGTTTGAAGAACCCAGTATGACACTGGGAAACTTATACCCAGTGATGGTGGTACCTTCAATGTATGAACTAGGAAAATACCCATTCCATAGAAGTAACGTTGCTTATCTCAGCCAAGACTGTGAGTTGTTGTTGTTGCTATGTGCCGTCGAGTCAGACTTGACTCATAGCGACCTCTCCTTGGGTTTCCAAGGCAGTATCACTACAGAAATAGATTGCCTAACCTTCCTTCTGAGGAGTGGCTGGTGGATTTGAACCACCAGCCTTCTGGTTAGTAGTCAAGTGCTTTAGGCACTATGCTACCAGAGCTGAGTGCAAGGAGGGAGAGGGGGAGAACTTCTCTTCATTTTTAAAGAAGGGAGGAAAAGAGAGGGAAGAAGGAAGTGAGGAAACAATTAGTCCAGAGGACTAATGGACTACATGAACCATAGCCTCCATTAGATTGAAACCAGAAAAATTAGATGGTGCCCAGCTACCACTACCAATAGCTCTGATTTTTATCACAATAGAAGGTCTTAGACAGAGTGGGAAACAAATGGAGAACAAAATTCAAAATAATAAAAAAGACTTACTGGTCTGATAGAGACTGGTGGGAACCCTGAGACTGTTGCCCTTAGACACCCTTCAGACCTGAAACTGAATCAACCCCCTAGGATAACCTTTCAGGCAAACAACAGACAGGTCTATTATAAAGTGAACAATAATACCTGTGAGGAACATATTCCTCAAAAAAATCAACCATATGAGCCCAAAAGGTATCATTTGCTCAGAAACAAAGGTCAGAAGGCAGGAAAGGCTGAATGGAAAAAGGGAACCCAAGGAGGAAGTGGGAAGACTGCTGTGACATTGAGGAGATTGCAAACTAATGTCACAAAACAAAAGGTGTAAAAATTATTAAACAGAAAACTAACTACTCTGTAAATTTTCACCCAAACCACAATTTAAAAAAAAAAAAAAGCATTAATTTGTATTCATCATCAACAAAAAGCCAGGAAGCACAATTTAAAAAAAAATTAAAATTGATTCTAAAATTTATCTGAAAGGGCCATAAACCAAAAATAGTCAAGATACTCTTGAAAAACAAGGTAGGAAGGTATGCTATACAAGACTTAGAAAGCTACAGTAATTAAGATAGTGTGACACTGGTGCTAAACCAAAGAAACAACCCACTGCCATTGAGTCAATTCCTAATTATAGTGACCCTTCAGTTATTGGTGCAAGGACAGACAATCCAACAGAGCAGAAAGAAAATGGAAAATTCTCACTAGAAAAGTAAACTTCATAAGGGTAAAATTTCTTTGGTTGTGTTTACTACTGAATTCTTTTAATTGCCTGTACAATGCTTCTTTTCCATTATTATAAGTTATTTCATGTCTCACTGTTCAAAAAGCACTCATCCAAATTAACTGTTCTGAGAAGACGTAATTTACGAGTTGGCTCACAGATAAAACTACACACTCAATTCACATATCTAATAAAAATACTTTTTTTTAATATTTCTATCAATAAAATGCACAAATAAATAGTAAGTTATACATCAAGCTTTTATAAGTTAGGACTTTTCTATTGAATGTATCTCTCATTAGCATAAATACATAAAGTGCCTTCAAATCAGCTATAAAGATATAATCAGGTGGGTAATTTGATAAATAAGTGATTTGAATTTTCAGGGTTGTTGGTATTTTGCTTTTTGCCAGAGTTTTTCTCACACTACTACTGTCATTTTTCCCCCCATGCACAGAAAACTAGGTATTAGTCTGGTGAAATGAAAAAAGCACTTGATGTAGCCAAAGCTAAAAAACAAACCCACTGCCATCAAGTTGATTTCAACACATAGCAACCCTAGCAGAGAGCAGAACTGCCTCATAGGGTTTTCCAAGGTTAGAAATCTTTACAGAAGCATACAGCCTCATGTTTCTGCCATGGAGCAAGCAGCCAGTGGGTTTGAATTGACAACCTTTAGATTAGCAGCTGAAGGCTTTAACCACTATGTCACCAGAGGTCCTATGCCTAACCAAAGTCAATACCTTTTTCCTCTGTAATGTATATGATATTTTTAAGTCACTTAAAGGCAAAATTTAAGTAACCAATAATTATACAAAACTTTTTAGTTTTTTCCCTTAAGTCTACCATATTACTCACTGATGCCTTGACTCATTTGTTCTGGGTCAATTCCCAACCAAGAGAGCACAATCATCAATTCCTACACATATTACCTGGATGGCTGTAAGAACACAAGTCTGCTGGACCAGGTTTCACCTAAGGTCTTTCAGGAAACTTTCATAAAAGGTTTGTCCCTCTCCTGGTCTCCTGCAGTAGCCTCATCCCTATACCAAATTATCCTCCAATTTAGAAAGGATTGTGACCAGGATAGCCATGATCATAAGCAGCAGACCCAGAGCAATCCTGCATGACTCCACTGGGTAACAGTAGTGTGTCAGAACCACTCACATTCTACCATCTCACCCACAGCAAGGCAGGTTTTACTCTACCCCAGGATCAAATATTTCACTGAGCACAAGGGCAGCTAACTCTGCATTTCCCTTGTCAAGTACATAATGAAATAAATGAAACCACTCAAGAGATGAAGTTAGATTCTTCACTGTGTACATTTATACTCAGATACAGGAAGATGTATGCTGAGCAAAACCAGAGGACTCTGTTCCAAAAAGCCTGAAATACTGATGTCTGACCCATTTTGTACCTTTTTTATGTGTGCCCAACACAGTCTAAACTTGGGGGAGATCCTTTAAAGACACCTATTAAAGAAAAAAAAATCTACAAATAGAAAGTACCAGAATCAAATAGAAAAAAAGAATGAGAGATATTTCCAAAACACAGGGGAAAAAAAATTAAAATATGCACTGAGTCTAACTATAGCTACTCCATTTAAATAGTTTCTAACATCAGTTTAAAAAAGGGAGAGGGAAGCTGGATATTTGCTTATCAGAGTCTATGTAGAGGAGTTCTAGCAGCGTAGTGTCTAACACATTTGACTGCTAACCAGAATGCTGGCAGTTCAAACCCACCAGCCACTCCTCAGAAGGATGGTTGGGCAATCTACTTTCATAGTGATACTGCCTCAGAAACCCAAGAAGGGGTCATTATGAGTTAGGTCCAACTCCACGGCAGTGAGTTTTGAGTCTATGTAGAGCCTATATTTAACATTGTTGAATACTAATAAATGTTAAGATGCTTTCCTAGTATGGCAATACATTTTCAATCTCTCTATAAATTCTAAAACACTTCACTTTATCACCATCTTTTGCTATGCTCTAATATATCTAATAATGTATACATAGGTCCATTCTCTTCATATATCCTTATACCTAACTGTGAAGCAATCAACTCCAAACTTTTCTTTTTATTTGTGGTGGTGTTGTTGACAACCAATTGAACAAATTCTATATGCACAATTCAATGACACTGATTATGTCTTTGAGTTATGCAGCCATTCCCAGTCTCCTTCTGAATTGTTTCTCCTCCATTAACATAAACTCCCTGCATATTAAGTTTCCTATCTAATCTTTCCAGTTGCTGATGTCAGTTTGACCTCACAGAGATAGATCTTAAAAGAGTAAAGTGCTTAAGGCAGACATTTTTTATTCGTTAAGCTAAACTACTATTTGGTTTTATGAAGATTTCGGGGATATTTTTGGTTTAAGGTTTAAATGTTATCTTAGGGCAGTAGTTTCATGGATTCATTCCGTTTCCATGGCTCCAGAAAGTCTAGATTCCATGAGAATTTAAAATCCTGTTCTACATTTTTTCCCCTTTTAATCAGGATTCTTCTACAGAATCTTTGATCAAAATGTTCAGTAATGATAACTCCAAACTCTCTTTAAGGTATAACTCATCAAGGAGGGGAAAATGAGCAAGCACAAACAATATGTGTATTATTATTTATTTTTAAATTATAGAAATTTTATACATTGCTATTAGAGTGACTAATTATCCCAGTTCACCTGGGAGTGAAGGGTTTCCCAAACTATTCTCTACCAAATAAATCAGCCTAGTTAGTTCTAAAAAGTCACAATATACTCTTCACAACAAAAGGACAAGACAGAAATAAACAGTTTCTTTTAAGAATTCATTCTTTTAATGAATGAATAATGAATAAAACTTGTATATTTACTTTCAAACCATACCCTTATTATTTCAGCTCTAAGGCTCCAAAATA